CTTCAAGGCTCAGGGGTCCAGGATTATCTTCTGTGTCTGTGTTAATTGGTTTCCCTTTTCTTTGTTGAAGAGGGTCTGTGCAGGCTTTCTGCCTAATCCACCATCTTACTGGAACTCTACACTCTTCAAGTTCTTCTGTATTTTGTTGAAGTTTTTCTAGTTCTGTTCCTCCTTAAAAGTGGTGTGTTAAAATCTCCTACTACTATTGTGGAGTTGTGTATTTTACCTTTTAATTCAGTTAATATTTGTTTCACATATTTTGGAGCACTTTCATTATGTACACCGATACTTATCATGGTAATGTCTTCTTGTCACTTGACCCTTTTAGCATCAAATAGTGTCTTTGTTTGCCCCTTATGCTGTTTTTCACCTTGAAGTCTATTTTATCAGAAAGTAATATTGCCACTCTTGCTTTTTTTTTTTGGTTAACATTAAACCAAAACACCAAATTTGTCTGCCGTTGAGTTGATTTGATTCATTGTGATCCTTCCTTGGGGTTTCCAAGGCAGTATCACTACAGAAGTAGATTGCTCAACCTTCCTTCTGAGGAGGGGCTGGTAGGTTTGAATTGCTAGCCTTCTGGTTAGCAATCAAATGGCTTAGGTACTACATTAGTTTGGTATATTTTTTTCCATGCCTTAATTTTTTATTTGTTTTTGTCTTTGTGTCTTAGCTGGGTCTGTTGTAGGCAGCATATTGATGGGTCTTCTTTTCTTACTCAGTATGCCACTGTCATTCTCTTGACTGGTGCATTTAGTCCATTCACATTGAGTGTCATTACTGACAGGTTTTAATTTATTTCTGTCATTCTGTTGTGTTTTTTATTGCATTGTTGGTGATTTTCTTGGTCCAAATATTTTTCTGTGCTGAGCTCATTTTGTTATTGTTGGTTTTGTGTTTACTAAGCCCATATGTTTTTCTTCTTTCTGGGTTTCCTTAGGTGGATTGTTAATTTTCTTTGTGGTTACCCTGAAGTGAGTTGTTGTCCTTTTAATTTTGGAACAGTCTATTTTTATAAAGATGCTGTCCTGTCTTCCTCTCCATTGGAAAGTTTTGTGGTTAGACCTTTTATTCCATCTTTGCTTTGTTGCTGGTGTTGTCTGCAGATTGACTCCCATGTTTTTTGTGTACAGTGTTTTATGAGCTTATTTTGAGCACCTCTTTCTGATTTAACTAAAATTTCTGATTTAGTTTTTAAGTGTTGATGTGATGTGTCCTGATTTTAATTTGTTGTTCTCTGTTTTGGGTTCTCTATCGGAAGATATGGTAGTTAAGTTTGGGTGTCAACTTGGCTGGGCCTGGTGGAGTGGCTGGGCAGCTGGTGGTAGTTATTCCCCATGATAAGACTGGCAATCAACTCCATGGTGGGATCTACCACAAGCAGCTGAGTAGCTGCCTTTGGGAATGTGGTCTGCTTCCTATATTTAAGGAGACACCTTGAGAATGGTTTCTAGTTTATGGAATGCTTGGACCCTGCATGTAGCCATGTCATTGCTCGGTAGCCTGCTATGCTCTGCCGACCTTGGGACTTACAATGGACTTAAGTTAATGGCCTGCTGTGTGGTTTGGTAACATCAGGACTATGCCTTTTTACTTGTCAACCTTGGGGCTTCTCAGCCTCAGCGGCCAGCAGCTGTCTGAGTGAAGAAATGCCTCTAGCTCCAGTGGGCCAGGAGCAGGAGGCAAAGCTGGACCCCAAGGTTGAGGGGCTTTCACCCAGCCCCTACAACTTGGCACTTTGAACTTGGACTTAAAGCCTCCAAATTGTAAGAATAAACTCCTGTTTGTTTATGCCATCCCATTTGTGGTAACATTCTTGTCATAGTGGCACCAGGTAGCCAGAACAGAATTTGGTACTGGGAGAGTGGGGTGCTGCTCTGACAGATACCTAAAATGTGGAAACAGGAGTGGACTGTTTCTTTGACCCGAGACCCTGGCAGAGAGACCCTGGCATACGGCATGACAGATGGCAGGACAGACAGCAAGAGACTGGCATGAGAGATGGCGGGAGTAGAGCCCAGAGACCAACATGAGAGATGGCAGGAGCAGAGCTGAGAGAACTGGCATGAGACAGCGACAGCCTTACCAGCCCACGGAGGAAAAAGCTGGGTGCCATTGGGCAGACGGCTTCCTGGCGGAGTGGGTTGCCTTCGGGCGTTAATTGATAGAGAAGACCATCATAAAATGGAGTAGCAGGTTGGCCAGGCCACGGAGCAAGAAAGCAAAGTGTCTTTGGGGCAGAAAGATTTCTGGCAGAGTGGGTTGCCCTCGGGCATTAATCAGCAGAAGCGGAGAGACCAAGAAAACGGAAGCAGAGATGCCTCAGCCTAAAGGGTAGGACCATGCCTTTAGGGGTGGAATGATAACGGTCCCCTAGTTTCAAAGAACCAGGACTTCACCAACTTGGTTCTGGAGTGTGAGGCTGCTTGTTCGTGTGAGCCAGTGGGATGGAGCTGTAGCCACTGCCTAAGAGTGGGGGGGGGGGGCGGGGCTGCCATGCCCAAGAGGGAGAGGAACAGGCCAAGGGGGTGAGGTCACTCAGGAACTAGGGGACTGGAGCCACCCAGTGGAGGAGATCTGTAAAGATGCCACCCCATGAAGATCTGTACAGATGCCAAGTTGACAAGGGGTGGAATTGTGGTAGTTGTTTTTGTATCAACTTGGCTGGGCCTGGTGGAGTGGTTGGGCAGTTGGTGGTAGTTATTCCCCATGATAAGACTGGCAGTCAACTCCATGGTGTGATCTACCACAAGCAGCTGAGTAGCTGCTTTTGGGAATGTGGTCTGCTTCCTGTATTTAAGGGGACGCCTTGAGAATGGTATCTAGTTTATGGCATGCCTGGACCCTGCATGTAGCCATGTCATTGCTCAGCAGCCTGCTATGCTCTGCCAACCTTGGGACTTACAATGGACTTAAGTTAATGGCCTGCCGTGTGGTTTGGTAACATCAGGACTGTGCCTTTTTAACTTGTCAACGTTGGGGCTTCTCACCCTCGGCAGCCAGCAGCTGTCTGAGTGAAGAAATGCCTCTAGCTCCAGTGGGCTGGGAGTAGGAGGCAAAGCTGGACCCCAAGGTTGAGGGGCTTTCACCCAGCCCCTACAGCTTGGCACTTTGAACTTGGACTTAAAGCCTCCAAATTGTAAGAATAAACTCCTATTTGTTAAGGCCATCCCATTTGTGCTAACATTCTTGTCAGAGCGGCACCAGGTAACCAGAACAGAAGGCCTCCCTTTAGCATTTCCTATAGGGTTGATCTGGTTTTCACAAATTCCCTTAATTTCTAATTGTCAGAGAATGTCTTAATTTCACCCTCATATTTAATGGACAGTTTGGCTGGATATAGAATTCTTGGTTGAAACTCTTTTCTTTCAGTGTTTTATGTATGCCATTGCATTGCCTTCTTGACTGAATAGTTTCTGCTGAGTAATCAGAATTCCGTCTTATTGCTTGGCCAATTTAGGTGACATTTCTTTTTTCCCAAGCTGCTTGCAAGATTCTTTGTCTTTGGTTTTAGAGAGTTTAATTATGATATGTCTTGTTGACTTTCTCTTGGGATCTGTCCTATATAGAGTTCGTTGAGTGTCTTGGACAGATATCTTTTCCTCCTTCATAATACGGGGAAAATTTTCTTTTACCAAGTCTTCCACAATATTCTCAGTGAGTTGTTTTTTTTTTTTTTTCTTTTCTTTTTTGCCTCCTCTTATTCTGGTATTCCAGTGAGGCATATGTTGTTTCTTTTCATGTCATCCCATATAATTCTTAGGTTACCTTAAATCTTTGTTCTGATTTTTCTTCATACAGGCTGGCGTCAAGGGATTTATCTTCCAGTTCAGTAATGTGTTCTTCAGCCAGTTCTAGTTTACTCTTTTGTCCTTCCTCTGTTGTCTAATTCTTTAATTTTAGTGTTCATCTTCTGGATTTCTAACTGCTATTTTTGTAAGAGTTCTGATTGTGTATTTATCTTGTTATTTTGTTCTTGGATGATTTTCCTGAGTTCTTCCAGGGTACTCTCTGTGTTTTCCTTGATTCTGTGTGTGGTTTCCTTCAGCTCTTATAGAGTTCTATAAGCATTCCTTCTAAATTCCTTCTCAGATAATTCTATTGCCTATTCTTCTGCCATGGTAGGTAAATCTTTTGCCTGGGGTTTTATTTTTATTGCCTTGTCGTGTTTTTTTTTGTTTTGTTTTGTTTGTTTTATTTGAGGTTGTCTTTTGTTTCCTAGACATTCTGAAGTTGTCTTTAACTATTAATTATGTGTTGATTTGTTGCACCCTGATTTTATATTTAAATATATTTGCAGGTGTGGAGCAGGTGTATTTTTTTGGTTATTAATACAGATATACTGGGTTGCTCTCCAGTTTTGTGTTGATGGTTCATCATGGAGGAGATTTGGAGTTGGGATGAGCAGGTGTTGTGGTAGCTTAATGTGCTGCTTTCAGCTCAGCTCCCAAGGTTACCATCACAAGCTCCCAGTGTGGGTATTCCTAGTTCCCAAAGCCTCTATGGGTTCTGTGGTGCCCTCCCCCACCTTTTTTTTTTTTTTTTTTCATCCTCCTCTCTGTGGCTCTCCTCTGTGTATTGCTAATAAGCTTTCTGCTTCTCTGCCTTTCCATCTTCCTGCCAGCCAGGCAGGTCTGTTTATTTTCATCTAATCTGATCTTTTTCTCCACCTCCACTAAATCTGGCACTCTGTTGCCTACTTACCTATTCACAACTCTAGGATCCCTGCTTCTATCTACTATACCTAATTTTTCAGGAATTAAGATGCTAGAGGGAACAAACGTGTGGGCTACAGGTATGACACCCTCTTCCCACTCCAAGCAGTTTGTATTTAGAAACATGTTCCAGTGAATCATAAAAATTAAATTTTTATTATCTTTTTTTCAGGATTTACAAGGTACCCAAGTATCCACTGTGGAGCTGACACAGATAAATAGAGAAAATGTAAATATTAATCTTTGTGATGAACAATCAATATAAAAAAAGTATTCTTTTAATTGCATGTAAATTAGGTGATAAGCTTGTTTTTTTAAATTGTGTTTTATAATATGAGATTATGGAAAGTAGTCATTTCAAAACTGAGATATATCCTTCTGTTGTAGTGGGCTCTATGTTTTTGCTGATACTTAAACTATTGGTTTATATGACCACTACCCATCATTTTATGTATGTAGAACTCTGTCTCACTCTTAACTATTGTATAATGCTTCTATGAGTTATTTTATGAATATTGAATACTAATCAGTGCATTGGCAAATGTCCTTCCATATGTATCTCCTCCTTTTGTTGTAAGAAGTATAATTTAAAGATTGTCTTTGCTATTATTAGTAGAGGAAGTAAGATATTACTGATCTCAGCACATTTATAACTCATAGATAAAATATAATTTCAACATTTTGAGGGTACTCTGGAAAGACAAGTAAAAAAAATTTTTTTTAAATAGTATTTTTCTGAGTTTTTGGTGAGGAGTTCCAGTAACATGGCGGAATAGACATACTGCACAGATTCTCTTCAACAAAGAAAAGGGATACAGATACAGAAGTTAATTCTGCAGCCCTGAGCTTTGAAGGGAAAGATATAGAAGTGGACTAAACTCCAACTAGTAGAAGAATTTGCATGAAAACACCAAAAAAGGAGAAATACAGAGCTGTGGTCTGGCAGAGATCCTGAAAGCACAGACAGCTTGGATATTGCCATGTGGTGTTAGGACCTAAGACTTAACCTAAAATCAGCCCTCCTAGCCAGGGGCTGCACAGAGGACTGTACTGATGGCTGGTGAGTAAAAGGGGAAGCAGCAAAGAGGAAGGCGGGCTGAGCTGTGGGCTTTTGCCTGTCTGGAGGGTGCAGCCATTTTGAATGTTTACAAGCAATTTGACCATTTTGGATATTTAAAGCAACAGTGTTCTCCCAGATTCCAGAGACTTAAGAATGGGCTCCACTTGCTGGGAATGACAAGGATATCCTGGATGCCAACAACTTGAAAGTTTCTAGTTTTCACCTCTCTCTCTTCCCTGTTCCTGGTTCCGATTTTTTTCTTTCTCATGGTTAACCCCATTCTTTGTTTTTCTTTTTCTATTTTTCCCATTGTTTTCTTCATTATTCTCCTACTCTGCCTTTTTTCTCTTACTGCGCTCTCTCCAGATATTGCAGTTTTGTTTTGTTTTTTTTCCTTTTTTCTTTTTTTAGTTATTGTTCCTGTGTGATTGCATGGTGTGTTTTTTGTCCACTTGTTTTTAATTTTTTGATGGTTATTCAGTTGTTTTTCCTGTCTTGAGTGAGAGACAGCAACAGGGTCCATACAACGCAACTACACCTGCACCTCCTGCAGCCGCCACTTCCTTCTCTACCAACTGGCCAACAATAAGTGACCACCAAGAAAAGCCTGACTCAGCCTTAACTGCTCTTCACAAACAGTTAACAGAGAGCTAAATACAACAACATCACAATGTCTCAGACACAAAAGAACACCACAGTCCACACAAAGAAGCGAGACAAAGTGGTAGAAACAAGGGAGCAGGATACAGACCCAGAACACATCCCTGAGGAGGAAGCAGCATTGGAGCTCTCTAGTAAGGAATTCAAAAGAATTATATTTAGATATCTTCAAAGGATTGAGAGTCAGATCAAGGAAAACACTGACAAAATTAAGGAAAACATAGACAAAACCCTAAAAAATTTTCAGAAGAAAATACAAGAATAGAATGACAAAATAAATGAAAAGTTAGAAATGATTAAAAAAAATCTACAGATAGAAATCCAGAAGATTAATACTAAATTTCAGAAATAGATAACACATCGAAAGGGCAAAGGCATAGAATTGAATCAATGGAAGACAGAATTATTGAGATTGAGGACAGATGCCTGACTACTTCTTTGGAAGGGAATCAATCAGAAAAAAGATCAAAATGAAGAAACCTAAGATTCATGTGGGATACCATCAAAAGGAATAACCTATGAGTAATAGGAATTCCAGAACAGGAAGAGAAAAAGAAAACCCCTGAGAAAATTGTCCAAGATTTGTTGGAAGAGAACTTCCCTGATATGATGAAAGATGAGAATATATCCATTAAGGAAGTCCAGTGAACCCCAAACAGGATAGACCCCAAAAGAAAATCACTAAGACATGTCATCATCAAACTGATCAAAATCAAAGATGAAGAAAGAATCCTGAAAGCAGCATGGGAAAAACAAAAAGTTACTTACAAAGGCCAACCAATAAGAATAAGTTCTGATTTCTCAGCAGAAACCATGCAAGTGAGAAGACAATGGGATGTTGTATATAAATCTCTGAAAGAGAAAAATTTCCAACCAAGAATTATATACCCAGCAAAATTGTCCCTCACATATGATGGTGAAATTAGGAGATTTCCAGATAAGCAGAAATTAAGGGTATTTGTAAAAACCAGACCAACCTTACAAGAGATACTAAAGAGAGTCCTTTGAACAGAGAACCAGTAATAGCAAACAACAACTGACCATTATTACACAAGATTACATAACCCAGAAACCAACACAGCTATGGAGGTATCCAAAGTAAAATAAGCTTACAAGATTGCAAACCAGGAACCAGAGACATCAATTGGCCAACAAGGACAACTACAAACCAAAAAGAGGGGGGAAAATAGTGTAGTTACAGAACTTCTAAATGGTGAGGGAGTCAGGAGAGTTGCAAGATAGAATGGACTATTCTGAACTCAGGGAGAAAATTACAAATCACAGGGTAAGCTCAAAGAAAAATGATAAACGTTCACATCACAGTAAAAAAGAGGACAAGCACAAATATTTAGCAAATGTGAAAAGAACAGCAACAAAGGAAATGATAATGATCCATAAACATAATGAGCTCAGCACAGAAAATTATATGGAACAAAGAAACCAGGAACACCATGAAAAAACACATAACAGAATGACAGCAACCAATTCATACTTGTTGATAATTACACTGAATGTTAATGGCATGACTCAAGAGACAGAGAGTTGCAGAATGGATAAAAAAATGTAACCCATCAATATGCTGTCTACAAGAGACACACCTTAGAGACAAAGACAAAAATAGACTAAAAATCAAAGGTTGGAAAAAGATAAATCAAGCAAATGGCAACCAGAAAAGAGGAGTGGAAATATTAATGTCTGATCAAATTGATTTTAAGACAAAAACCACCATATGGGACCAAGAAGGACATAATATAATGATTAAAGGACCAATTAAACAAGAAGATATTACCATAATGAATATCTATGGACCCAATGAAAGAGGCCCAAAATGCATAAATCAGGCTTTAAAAAAGTTGAAAAGGCAAATAGATGACTCCACAGTCACAGTGGGAGACTTTTTAATACCCCACTTTCAATGAAAGATAGAACAACTGGAAAGAAACTCAACAAAGACACAGAGGAGCTAAACAATACAATCCACCAACTAAGTTTTTGGTGAAAGTTTACATAGGAAGTTAGGTTCCTGTTTGACAATTTCTGTACAAATTGCTCAGTGACATTAGTTACATTTTTTACAATGTGTCAGCATTCTCTTTTTTAACAATTTTTATTGTGATTTGCGTGGAAGTTTACAGAGCAAATTCATTTTCCATACAGCAGTTCATAAACATTTTGTCTCATGACATTCACTGCTATTTCCCACAGTGTAACAGCTCTCTTCCCACTTCTTCCCCTTAGTTACCTCTTCCTTGTGTCCTTACGTCCCATGCACTCCTGCCCCCTGAGCTGTCGCCCTTGCATACATTGCCCTTCTGTTCTCCCATGATTGATCTCTCCAAGGGGTGTGTCTACCTGATACAAATGTTCAACTCATATACCTGTCTTTTATTTGGCTGGAAGCCCCAGGAGTGAGTATCCCTTTTTTTGTTTGTTTGTTTTTTTTGCAGGTGGTGGGGTAGGGGTGGATTTGGAGTTTTGTTTCACATTGTTCTCCCACTCTATCCAGGATCTCCTACATAGATCCCCCAGTGAATGTTTGACAGTGGTAGCCAGGCACCATCTAGTTCTCTGATCTCATGGTCATATAGGCTGAAGATCACATGGTCTTCCAGTCCCTTGGACTAATTGTTTCCATGCGTCTTTGATTTTCTTTATTATTCTTTGCTCTGGATGAGGAGAGACCCAACTACTCATTCCTTCTGGGTGGCAACTGTGGCCAAGAAGTCACCACAGCCTTGTCCCTTGTCAACTCTACCATATGGCTGGAAATTCTTACAGGACATACAGATAAGCTTGTAGAAACATGGTCTGCAAATCCTGTACATGGTCATGGGTACACTCCTCTTGCCTGGATGTACCTGATCATTCAGCCTGTCCACCCATGTATCCACCCATAGATCAGTGTTTGCCATCACTAACAATGCAGTACTGTATGTGCAGAATGGTTCATCTTTGTTGTCTGTATCTCCCATGTACCTCTTTATGTCTTTTCCTCAGTGCCACCATGTTGATCACTCACATTTGGTGCATTGCCATTCCCTTCACTCAAATCAATACTTTTCTCTACCTATTTAGCAGTGTTCTCTCCCCTCCCCTCCCAAGCCAGGTAACCAAAAATGAAAGTTTTGTTCCATGTATAATCCTTTCTTTGACTTTTTACAATAGCGGACTAATACAATATTTGTTCTTCTGTGATTAACTTATTTCACTTAGCATAATATCCTCCAAGTTTATCCACATTGTGCAGTGTTTTACAGATTCTACGTTATTCTTTAGGGTTGCAGAATATTTCGTTGTGTGCATACCATAGTTTGGTTATCTGTTTTTCTGTGGATGGGCACCTAGGTTGTTTCCATCTTTTTGCTATTATAAATAGTGTTGCTATGAACATGGGTGTGCATGTATCTGTTCTTGTCCTGGCTCTCACTCTTTTAGGATATATACCTAGTAATAAGATTGTTGGATCAAATGGTATTTCTAATTGCATTTTTTTAAGGAATTGTCATACT